AAAAATTGATAAAATTGATTGCACAACCCTTGTTATCCATATATTAACGAATCGTAATATTAATCAATTCACAGGTCTGCGAAATTTTTTTTTTTGAAAAGTTTTTTTCTTAAATTGTTAATATTTGTCGTAATTGACTTAAAAGTAATAGAAAACGATATTCATATGGTATATACCACGGTCACATTAACCCATAAATGCTCAGAGAATACATTTCCATTTGAATCCTTGCCACGTAATGAGTGCGACGAAAAAATACTCGATAATCAGTGTTTCTATGTTTTTAACGATGCTCTTTTCGATGGTGTTGGTTAAAAATACCTCCGACAATATTAAAGCATGTAAAGATCGAAAATAAGCAAAAACAAACGTGATTTTTGAATTGACTTTTTTCTTAAAAAATAATTTTTTGTGTCCTTACGATTTTTTTATATGTTTAAAACCTATATAGATCATGACCTCAATATCTAAACATGAAATAATCACCGTTGGTCAAGTCGAAATGNTACACAATTGCAATTTCTAATCAACATTAAAATGTGATTCTAAAATCGTTATGTAACAGAAAACCTTCATCCCAAGCTCCCCCAATGTAACAGGACCGTAACGCCAAACTGGAGTTGTTAGGTTGTAACAACTAACAACATCAGTACATATTCGGTATTTAAAATTTATTTTTAACGACAGCGTGTAGATCCGAGATTTGAAAATTGTTTCAGAATCATTAAATCATTTCTCAAACTATGGTCATCCGATCGTTATTAAATTACGTATTATTCAATAAGAATTACATCCTAGTTTTCTTAAGGTTAGTGCGTGACAGTATCATAACTTGTGCAATGAAACCTTTTATATGTACACAGCGGAGAGCCGGAAAGATTAGTGAACGGCTTTAGTAGTATTTTATTAAAGACCGAAACGACTGAATGACATATCAGGTGTAATCCTGTAGATTTATCGGAGTTAAACTTCTCTAATGACCTTATTTATATAACCCTTTTAGAATTCTATGTATCATGTAATAACTTTTACCGACCGAAGAATTAGTTTAGTACAACAAATCGAAGACGGTAGTCCGGCCAAGTTGTGAATGGTAAAATAAGCAAATAAAAAAACATTCATAAAATAAACTATTTTACACTTTAAAATTCCTGAAAGAAACCTGTGATAATTTAGTACACAAAAAATTTAATAATGAGACAATTTCTGAAATTTAATCTTATCAAGTAAATTTAAAAATATAAAGTTAATTTTTAGAAAAGAAAATAAAAACCAACTTCAACACTACACCTACATGTACAAACTTAAACTAAAAAGTAAAAAATAATATTTTAGCGCATTACGGAACAATCGACAAAATCATTGATACATGACATTTACAATTTATAATCAGTTATTTTTGAAGCTGGTGCTTAGTTTAATCCTGACTTTGCAAGAAACTTTTCGTACGATTTCATTTATCTAATCTCTACTTTCGTATAGATATATATTAATTGATTAATCAAGTAGGTATCTATTAACGTTATTTTTTGCTTTGGCTGGTTATCGACTCCAACTTTTGTCGATTTTTTTCAAAAAGCACTGAATCAATTTCGATAAAATTTATATGAGACCACCTCTGAAGTACTACCCACTAAACAAAAAAAGAATTATCAAAATCAATTCATAATAGTTTTACAAAATACATAAAACACATTATGCATCCCTATAAAACTTGAGGGTTGCCCTCGATTTTTCTGGAATCCCACCATAACATCCTAACTTGGTGTTAATGGGACCACTTGGGAAGTATATACACCCTTTTAAACAAGAAAAGAATTTCTCGAATCGGTCCAGGCGTCTTTGAGTAATCGGGGAACATAATAAAAAGAAATTTGAAGTTGGTTAAAAATGTAATTAATTAGGTAATTTTTGACTCAAAATTGGGGCATTTTTCGACCATCTCCAGCAGATTGAAAGTTGATTTGCGTAAATACTGAACTTTGACAACTTAGTTTTACCATTATCTTTAGGAAAAACTTAATCAATATCATTTATCAAATCATCCATCACGTAATTGACAATAGTCCCTTAAGAACAGAATAATAAATCTATATTATATAGGTATGGTTAATTGAAACAATATCAGATGTGTATATAGCTAGTATTTGTTTTCACAGATTAGCATAGCAGTACTTTTGATAGTATTGCCATGTTTTCCTGCTAGGCCAGGATTGGTTAAATATGCAACTTATTCACCGCATGCCGTTGATTATCACGTAAGTACGAATAAGAATATTTTAAAACGAAAACTGCCATTCTTACTGCCAGAATTGTCTTTATTTATAGATTAAACAAATAGTACCTAAGTAATATTTTTGAGTACTTATACTAAATTTTATCTCTCAGGGAAAAAACTAGACTAACAGGAAATTTCCTCTAGTGTAGGTAATATAAANTAACACACCGCAAAAGTCCAAAGGACGATAAAAATACGACAATGAATGAAAATGAATAATTAAAATAATTAGGTCGAATAATTAAACTTAAAAGTCCCCGATTTTAGCCAGTTATTGTTTATCTCGTGATAAATAACTCAAAAATAAAAACAAGGATACGTAACTGATTGGTATTAAACAGTTCCGACCAGTGATTTCAATTTACCCGTTCATTTACTGTTTCTTTTTTTTTAATAATGAATAAAAAAGAATAATAAGTAATACAAATAGTTAAAAAACACCTGCCTATAAAATTAAACCACGTGGTGAAGACAATGAGACAATAGTACACATAGAACATATTTTGGGCTTAACACAGGAAAAAAACAATTGGCAAAACATTATCACATAAAAACTATTTGATACATATATAGTAAATCGAATCTATTATGGTCAGCTAATTTTCGTAAGGTTAAATTGAAATTTAAATTAAATATAACAACTTAAGTGGTAAGTTACTTTTAAATTTGTTGTAGGTATATATTAAGCCCCACACAAGGGTTTCGCCCCTCATCGGTAAATTGTTGTTCCTTTTTCTAACTAGTTACTTACATTATTTAGAGTTAAAGTTATTCTTTGTCTTGTACCAAATAACTCAAAAATAAAAACAAGGAACCGATACCTGATAGTATTAAACGGTTCCGATCAGTGATTAAAACATACCCATTCATTTACTATTACTTTTTTTTTTAGAAGGAACCAAAATATTCGTTCAAATATGGTGTTACCGACCTCTACACGGGAGATGTTAAATCTCAACACGAAAGCCGTGATGGAGGTATAGTGAGAGGACAGTATTCTTTAGTAGAACCTGATGGTTCCATAAGAACCGTGGATTATACAGCTGATCCGGTTCACGGATTCAATGCCGTCGTTTCTAAAACTGCACCGTCTATACACCCGGTGGCACCAGTGGTCAAACATTTGGATGTTGTACCTGCTGTGGTAAAGAAAATTGTACCTGCCGCACAACATTCTACAGTTTACATTCACAAGAACGATGTTGAAGCCGCGCCGGTGGCGGCTCCAGAGATTTACGTCGGAAAACACTCGTACCAACCGATTTACGCAGGATTAGGTAAGACTCTTAGTTACCTTTGACCCTTAAAAGCTTTCCAAACCGTCGATCCGTGAAGATAAGTTACAGTTGTACAAAATTAAAATCTTAAGATAACAAACCAAAATAAACGCAATAATTGAAATTATTTTGGGTTAAATTATGAATGAATGAATGGAGTCATTTATAAAATATAAAAATTGCCTTATAAATGAATTGTTTACACACTAGTTAACAACATGAAAAGTTGAAAAACGCAATCTTATTCTTCACAAGAAAATTAAAACAAAAATATTTTAAATTTTCTACGTTTTCTTTTAAAAGAAAGCTGTGATACAGGGATTGACGTTGAATGTTGACACAATTAATAACGTTTTTGTTTTACATCGCTTTCTTGCTGTGCAGAATCTTAAGAAACTGTCAATATTAATTGTTGTATCAATTGTTTTTTACCACTAAACAAATTAAATGTAATAGTAATCAAAATAGGGAATGGGTTAGTCGCTTAACGCACCGTTGATATCTCCCAAATGATTTTCGTTGTATTCACTTATTCGTCAATATATATTTATAAGGGTTGTTTATAAATTTAGTAACGCAAATTGGGGGCGTTGTGAACTTGTTACGTAGGGCGAGACAGGGGGTTAAGATTTACGTTCCGTAATAATTGCTCAAAATAAGGAACGGGTAAATCGGTTAATGCATCGTTGATATCTCAAGTTTTGCCTCAACAAATCTTGATCCCGACTTTGAATTCTAAAGTAGGTACCAAAATTTAGATAGAAATAATACTGAACTAAAAAAATACGCGTCAATAAGATTAATAGTGCGCAAATTAATAAATTACCTGTTATTACATTTGATGCATTTTTATGTACATTTTAATTACATCATCCTGACTTTGTTTTGTTTGTGAATCGCCGATAGACCCTAGTATACCCAAAATCTTGAGAGAGCAGTTTTGACAAACAACTTTCTCGANATAATTTTATTTAAAATATTTCGATCTTTAAAGCTTTGATATTGTAACTTATAAAAGTTACTTTCCTCATTTTGACCAGTTCTTCCCCTCTAAGTCAATAGTTAGAAAGAGGAGCAATAACAGTGGTTGTAGATTTAGTTTATTATGAAAACAATTTACTTTACCGACGTTTCGTCCCTTGTGCGAGACTTTTTTAAGACTGCAAAAATTATTGAGTTAACTTAAAATTTGTTTTTCATTTTTATTTAAATATCTTAATATAGTTTTCTTAATTAGGTGAAAACATCCAATCGATGCGAATGAAACAGTGATATATCAAACAGCAATAAGCATAACACACCGCAAAAGTCCAAAGGACGATAAAAATACGACAATGAATGAAAATGAATAATTAAAATAATTAGGTCGAATAATTAAACTTAAAAGTCCCCGATTTTAGCCAGTTATTGTTTATCTCGTGATAAATAACTCAAAAATAAAAACAAGGATACGTAACTGATTGGTATTAAACAGTTCCGACCAGTGATTTCAATTTACCCGTTCATTTACTGTTTCTTTTTTTTTAATAATGAATAAAAAAGAATAATAAGTAATACAAATAGTTAAAAAACACCTGCCTATAAAATTAAACCACGNAAAATTAAAACAAAAATATTTTAAATTTTCTACGTTTTCTTTTAAAAGAAAGCTGTGATACAGGGATTGACGTTGAATGTTGACACAATTAATAACGTTTTTGTTTTACATCGCTTTCTTGCTGTGCAGAATCTTAAGAAACTGTCAATATTAATTGTTGTATCAATTGTTTTTTACCACTAAACAAATTAAATGTAATAGTAATCAAAATAGGGAATGGGTTAGTCGCTTAACGCACCGTTGATATCTCCCAAATGATTTTCGTTGTATTCACTTATTCGTCAATATATATTTATTAGGGTTGTTCATAAATTTAGTAACGCAAATTGGGGGCGTTTTGGCCTTGTTACGTGGGGCGAGACAGGGGGTTAAGATTTACGTTCCGTAATAACTGTTCAAAATAAGGAACGGGTTAACCGCTTAACGCATCGTTGATATCTCCCAAATAATTTTCGTTGTATTCGTTTATTTCTCAATATATATCTATTTACAAGGGGTTGTTCATAAATTTCGTAACGCTAATTAGGGGGGTGGTATGGTCTTGTAACGCGGGGCGGGTTAGGGGATCAAGATTAACGTTCCGCAATAACTGTTACAGAATAAGGAACGGGTTAACCGCTTAACGCATTGTTGATATCTCCCAAATAATTTTTGTTGTATTCTTTTATTTCTCAATATGCATTTATAAGGGGTTGTTCATAAATTTCGTATCGCAAATTGGGAAGGCGTTACGGTCCTATTACGTGGAGGAAGATATGGAGTCAAGGTTTGCCGTGTGTAACTCTTTCAGATTTTACTTAAGATTTACGTAATTAAAAATAACTTTTTTTTAATTCAAACCTTATTTTTTTTACTAAATACGCGTTATATAACAGAATGGGGAGAGGCCACGCCACGTGCTACGATTTCGTTGTATAAAGGACAAATCAAAATTTACCAATTTATATTTGAAATTGAATCTTTCAATTATGTATAATGAATTTCGTAATTTGATAAATAAACAACTATATCTACAAGTAGATCAAGTTTTTTCGGAATTCATTCGCTCACAATCCGGACAATATTAGGTAATGTTATTTAATGCATTATTTCTTATTAATTTTACACTTAACTGAGTGTAGCGCAAGTGGATTGCGAAAAAAGATCCTAGACACAGCAATATTGTACAAAATTTGATTAGCATCACTTGCCAACATTATAACCTGGATAATTTTCAAAAACAGTTTAAAACATCGCATACAAAACGAAAGAATAAAGCAGTTTAAAAAGATGGTATCAAGTTTGGATATTACGAAATGCCATACTATTGTATACACTTCGCTAGCCACTACTTTTACTGACGGTAACTCGATAAATTGTGCGCTGCAGGTACAAGATTTGATTATAATTAATTTACTTCATTTTGACGAAATCATAGACGCCTGTTGAAAAAAAAAACAATTTCGTAACTTTTTCGTTGAGATGATCGATAATGATATAATGTTCATTTAATTTTAATTTGGATGGAAATAGGTGAACAATTAAAAGATAACGTTTTTGACATTTAAGAACCTGAAATTCACATAACAAAAAGAAAGGAAATAAAAAAGGGCAAAAGGTAAATAAACTAAATCACGCAAGTAAAACAGAGTGACATTTGCTAGAAATAATTCATTTGTAATCAAAATTAAAGTCGCAGAAAACAGGCTGAATAAAAAAGAATAATAAGTAATACAAATAGTTAANAAAAAACTTGTCACATGGAGACGCGGTTAGTATCTAATTGAGGATAGCTACGATGTCCTATTTGTAACTTGTATATTATATTCGTAGTTACTATAAGTTCCCGAGATCATTCGTCCTGGGAGTCATTGGAATATTCTATATGTAGGTAGTTGCGATCTCGTAAAATTGATTGCTCTGATCACAATATCGTTGTTCTATGATTTTATTGTGTATAACTGCTCGGTGCACAGTTTTCTGTATCTAACGGAATCAAGAAATCTTTTTCTTTTTCGTCAATAATCACCATCGTGAGATCATCACAAGGTCATAAGATTGACTGGACACGCACTCCACTTCTTTTTATCTTGAACCAATCATTGCATTTTTAAAAAACTATAGTAGGTAATCAACTTTAACTTGAATTTTGAATTCAAAATCTTTATTACCCGAATTTAATTTGTATTTTTTTACTTATAATAGTATTAAAATAGGTTTAATGTCCGACAATTGAATTCGAATATCGAGAGCGGCAGGAGGTCTAGTTTTGAATTTGTTTTTGGTGTAGGCATAAATTGAAAAGTTCGTCTATAATCTTAAGTCCATAGGTGTATAAACCGAAACAGGTCCCGTGATAACCTTCTCAACGACTTTATGATATTCATCATCAAGTTCCATCTAAAGATCATTCAAATTTAAATCAGTTGATTCGAATTAGAGACCAAACTGTTAGGGTTCGGCCTTTTATTATTGGTTTGGTTATGAAAAATGTGCCATTGTTACGGTTAAATACAGAACAGTTGCTTTTCGAAGAATTCTGTGTATTTTTATTAGGAATATCCACGCAGTACCTTTGTGACATTTCCATGAAACGCCAGGGTTCCTCGGAGTACCCTTTGGAAACCGCTGATCTACATTTATTTATGAACAGTAATCTAAACTCTCTACCGCTACTCTTCCTAACTTCCATTTATGCTTCTATTAGATCTTTAACTTAGCTTCTCGTGCCTCAGAAGGTGCCTATGTATCTCTCCTATTTCTTGCTGATTTTTTAAGCGTCCAGAGCTAAGCTACAAACATAGTATTAAACGGTTCCGATCAGTGATTAAAACATACCCATTCATTTACTATTACTTTTTTTTTTAGAAGGAACCAAAATATTCGTTCAAATATGGTGTTACCGACCTCTACACGGGAGATGTTAAATCTCAACACGAAAGCCGTGATGGAGGTATAGTGAGAGGACAGTATTCTTTAGTAGAACCTGATGGTTCCATAAGAACCGTGGATTATACAGCTGATCCGGTTCACGGATTCAATGCCGTCGTTTCTAAAACTGCACCGTCTATACACCCGGTGGCACCAGTGGTCAAACATTTGGATGTTGTACCTGCTGTGGTAAAGAAAATTGTACCTGCCGCACAACATTCTACAGTTTACATTCACAAGAACGATGTTGAAGCCGCGCCGGTGGCGGCTCCAGAGATTTACGTCGGAAAACACTCGTACCAACCGATTTACGCAGGATTAGGTAAGACTCTTAGTTACCTTTGACCCTTAAAAGCTTTCCAAACCGTCGATCCGTGAAGATAAGTTACAGTTGTACAAAATTAAAATCTTAAGATAACAAACCAAAATAAACGCAATAATTGAAATTATTTTGGGTTAAATTATGAATGAATGAATGGAGTCATTTATAAAATATAAAAATTGCCTTATAAATGAATTGTTTACACACTAGTTAACAACATGAAAAGTTGAAAAACGCAATCTTATTCTTCACAAGAAAATTAAAACAAAAATATTTTAAATTTTCTACGTTTTCTTTTAAAAGAAAGCTGTGATACAGGGATTGACGTTGAATGTTGACACAATTAATAACGTTTTTGTTTTACATCGCTTTCTTGCTGTGCAGAATCTTAAGAAACTGTCAATATTAATTGTTGTATCAATTGTTTTTTACCACTAAACAAATTAAATGTAATAGTAATCAAAATAGGGAATGGGTTAGTCGCTTAACGCACCGTTGATATCTCCCAAATGATTTTCGTTGTATTCACTTATTCGTCAATATATATTTATAAGGGTTGTTTATAAATTTAGTAACGCAAATTGGGGGCGTTGTGAACTTGTTACGTAGGGCGAGACAGGGGGTTAAGATTTACGTTCCGTAATAATTGCTCAAAATAAGGAACGGGTAAATCGGTTAATGCATCGTTGATATCTCAAGTTTTGCCTCAACAAATCTTGATCCCGACTTTGAATTCTAAAGTAGGTACCAAAATTTAGATAGAAATAATACTGAACTAAAAAAATACGCGTCAATAAGATTAATAGTGCGCAAATTAATAAATTACCTGTTATTACATTTGATGCATTTTTATGTACATTTTAATTACATCATCCTGACTTTGTTTTGTNTAAAAAGTTTTTAATTACTCAATTACCTATCACGTTATACAGTCAAATGGTTAAACTTAAAAAAAATTATTCATTATATCAATGTGTAACATTAATTTTTTGTAGTTATAATTATTTATAGAGCTAAAATGTTTAAAAACGTTTTATTTTAATGAAATATTTGTTTTAATAACGCAAATTGACATCGTACACATAAAGCATGTCAAGTAGAACAAAATAATGCAATAACTTTTGTTTTATCGTCAACAGTAGCAAACATTATTGCGCTAGAATGTTATGAAATAGTCCACTTTTTAAGCAGGTAATTGTTCATAACTAAAAATTGACTTTAGCATACGCTGAAAATTAATTACAATTAATCTTATTACATTTGGTCATAATAAAAGGAAAAAGAACAATAACATTCTATGAAAAAAGGCGTAATAAATTCAACGAAGTTAATTATGATTGCCTGAGGAAGCAGAATATCTGCGAAACGTTGCGTAAA